ATATATATATATATATATATATATATATATATTCGAGATGAACTCGGTTGGTTTAAATATCAGATTTGCTTTCACCTCTATGAGTTTACCATCATTGGTCTTCAGTTGAGGAATTCTTCATCACAAGTTGTCAACAACTACAATGTTCAGTCAGCCAATGCATACTAAGGATAACATCAATTTCCTTGTATGGTATTTTGACGAGGTTTTGCAAGGAATTGTTGCATAACGAATGATTTCGATTCGTATGATATAATCGCATATTTGCGTCGTAATGAGTTAGACATCAGAATGGGACCATTTTAGACAAAAGAGTTTATGGATTCTAAACGTTCGTGTTTGAATCAGCGATCCAATCGTCTTCAGTCCACATGAGGATCTTTGACAGTAGCTTCACAGATGTTATTCAACATTAATTGTTTCTTCATAGTCGTCTCACTTCTAAGCGACTTTACAAGGACGATGTGATAAGTATGTTGATAACGTATGAGGGAGTCATAATTTTTTTTATTTATTTATTCTTTCGTCTCTTCACCGAGTACGAAAGTTCTATTAGAGTCTATGCTCGATATGATTTCAGTACTAATCAATTATTATTCAATGAGAATTCTAACAGACTAAATATTTACCAAGTAATTTCTCATACCTTTCTTGGAGCAGAGGGATGCGAGAGTCGTGGATGTGATTGAATATTTTTTTTTAAATCAAGTTTCGATCCGAAGATCGGGTTTAAAACCATTTGCTCCGATACCAAACTGTAACACCCTAATTTGTCCAGGTCTGCAGCCCCTTTCAGATTAAAGTATTAACTTGGTAATCGTAAAAATTTAAAACATTTCAAACACTTTTATTTATCACAATAATATTTTTCATAATATAAAAAGTACGGAGTTTTCCATATTGCGGAAGCTTAACAATCATAATCACAAACATAATTTATTTATGTTCTTTAATTCAAAACCATCACATCCATTCCGACAATCTCGCCTCCGTCTGTGTTATACCCAAGCTCAGGTTTTTAAAGGAACTATCTTGTTAAGAACAGGGAAGAAATAATCGATTGTCCAAAGTGGATAATCGATTATCATGGGCTTCAGTTTCTGGGGGCAATTTTCAGGGGATTTTCTGGGAGGGGAGATAATCGATTTACAGGAGGTGTCAATCGATTATTGAGGATGGTAGGTTTTTTTTGGGAAAGGCTGATAATCGATTATTGGAGCCTGATAATCGACTATTGAGGGCTGCAGGTGTTTCACGAAGGATAGATAATCGATTTCCAGTGGGGATAATCGATTATTTGACAGCTCGAGACAGGAACAAGGTACTACTTTGGAAAGAAAAATGAACCAAATTGGTGTTAAGGGATATTACACACCCTTATCTTAACTTGGGGTTGAATCTAGCATTTAAATAAGATATTACACACTTACTTAAATAACTAGAACCTAAAACTCACACTCAAGAGAACCAATCTTAAGATATGGGATTAGGAATTTGGAATGAATCACACAAGTGAATCACTTTGATTAAAATTGGAATACAATGTGTGTTTACAATGCTCAGGGATGAGCTTATATAGGCATAGAAAAGGGAGACTACCAAGTCTCTTATTCACACAAATTAAAGAAATTAATGGCCACTTGTTGATGTTCCTTTAGTGGGAAAAACACGGGGATTATTGTACTTGTAGGGCAGGATTTTGGCTATTAGTGGTGGGAGGGAATATGTGAATATAATTCACAATTGATTGGCTTAGGTGGGGTTGTTTTGGGCAGGAGAAAAAGGGTGGGGTAGCAGGTTATTTGGAGGTATTTCCTAGGCTGGATATGGGGTAAAAACATGGGGAATTGAAGGGTGTGGGTGTGGGTCTAGGTGTTTTGGATTTTATGGCTGTTTGTTTAGCCAAGTTAAGGTGTAAAGGAGTGGTATTGGTAGGGTTGTGGCATGAGGTTTTTGGCCAGGGATGAAGAAAAAATAAATGTAGTTTTGGGTTTATTATTTTGGATATTTTGGGGTTTGGATTGGATGAGAATGGCTGGGTCTTTTAAGTTGGAGTTGGGCTCAGGGAAATTATGGCTATGTGGCGGGTTTTAGGATTGATAAGTTCGGACCAAAAGGAATCATAACACTTAGCCATTATTCCGTTAATTTGTTTAACGACTTTAGAGTCGTTGGTAGTCGCCCGGGGTATATCATCCTCCCCTTCTTCAAAAGAGTTTGTCCTCAAACTCGGAATTCCTTCAGGCTCAAAGTACGGGCTGATGTCCTTGATATTGAAAGTAGCCGATACTCCATAATCTCCTTGAAGGTTAATCTTGTAGGCATTGTCATTGATTTTCTCTATGATTTCAAACGGGCCATCGGCTCTTGGCAGCAACTTTGACTTGCGTTTCGTGGGGAAACACTCTTTCCGAAGGTGAATCCAAACTAGGTCTCCTGGTTGGAAGTGGACGTTCTTCCTTCCTCTGTTGATGCGCGCACTTACCTTCTCGTTTATAGCTTCAATCTTCTCTCGAACCCTGGCGTGAAGGTCTTGGATTTCCTTTGACCGCTTTTCCGCTTCTCAACTGTATTTGGTTTCCGTGATGATCGGATCAAGTTCAAGTGGGGTCAAGGGGTTCGAACCATAGACCACCGTGAATGGGGATAGTCCGGTAGTCTTGTTCGGGGTTCGGTTGTAGGCAAACTCGGCGTGTGGAAGGAGATCCTCCCATCGCTTGATGTTCTTCTTGATGAGGGCTCGTAAGAGTGTTCCCAGGGTGCGGTTGGTGACCTCGGTTTGGCCATCGGTTTGTGGGTGGCTTGACGTACTAAACTTCAGTTTAGTACCCAATTTTCTCCAAAGAGTCATCCAAAAATGACTAAGGAATTTGGTGTCTCTGTCTGATACCATGCTTCGAGGAACGCCATGGAGTTTGACTATCTCTCGAAAGTAGATATCCGCAACTTGTGAAGCATCATAAGTGGTAACACATGGCACGAAAT